AGTCCATATAATTTCTTCTGCCCATGCTTCATTTATTTGATTATTTTCAAGAACCTCTTGCAAGATTTGAAGTTTTTCTTTCTCTTCTCCATTTATCTTCTGGCCTTGTTTTTTTCTTGCCCTTCTACATATTTGTTAACTCTTTGAAATATTTTTCTTAAGTAGCTAAAATCATTCTCTGATTTTACTATTAGTTTTTTAGCTATAACTCTTTTTTTTGGCAGAGTTTTATTTGTTGCTAATCTTATACTTTGCTCTATTATATCCTACTCACTGTCTATTTTTTTTTGGTTTGCAGAACCTGTGTTTTTTTACTTTCTTTATTCGTATTTCTTAGCTTGGTTGTTTTTGCTTTAAGAATCTTATTTACCTTTTTAGCAAAGTTTTTCAAATTTTGCTCTTCAACTTTATCTATATCTATGCAGATTCTTTTATGCTTTGCTTGCTTTCTTTGAGCATTGCTTTGGTTGTCTTCTCTAATTCTTTTTTGTAACCAAGCAATTATCATGTAATGGTCACTTCTAGTGCTTAAACTCATATAATGTATTTTGCACTTTCTTAAGTTACTATGCCAGTTTTTTGATAATCAAATATAGTCTATTTCTGAGTTATTCTTTATACCTCTTCTTGTATATCTTTTCTTATCTGGCTTTAGTTATATAAAAGTGTTCTCGAAGTCTTTGTCTCTGAGTTTTTGAATTAGCAACTTTCTATTAGGTTCTGCTATTTGCATACTATATATTGCCTTGCAGGTTTTATCTGTTATGATAAAAACTTTTGTTTCATGTTTTTTCCTCACTTGATCTATTCTACTCAGTATTTTTTAACAAAGTTCTTTTTTAATTTCTCTCTTGTTTGAAGGTAAATATATTATGAATAAGTACTAGTTCTCTCTTTTGAACACAAAGTTTGCCTCTATAATATATGGTGACCGTCTATATATTCTGGCCAAATGCTTCTCTATTTTTTTATGCATAATTATTGTTACTCTCGAACCTTTCTTTTTCTTTCTTTCTGCTGAGGCCCAAAATCCCTTATGCTTTTTCATCTTTAATAAGCCAGTGCCCTTCTCTATCTTGTATATTAGTTTTACACAACCCTATAATATCTAAACCTTTCTCTTCTGCTAAATCTAATAAACTATCTATTTTTGTACTATCTATTTTAACTCTGTTAATATTGTGAAAAGCTATCTTTATATTGCTTTTATCACTTCTAGTTTCTAAATTTGCATTGTAAGTCTTATAATACATTATATTTGGATCTGGACAGGGTTCTTCTGCCTCTAGGGTGTTTTCTAACTCTTTTACCTGTAATTCAACTAGGGCAACTTTCAGGAGCACATTGCAAGCATTTGCTCTATTGTTCTAAATTTTTTTTGCATTTCTGCTATAATTATCATAATTTCATTTTCATTCTTTTTTTCTACTTCTACCTGTTTTCCTTTTCTTTTGTTCAGAACTTCTTTGTTTAAGCTGGTTGCAACTTCTGTTAAATCATATTCAGAGTTGGGTATTATTATATTTCCTAAACTGCTAAGTGGTTTTCAGGTTGTGTTGCAAGATCCAGAGCTACTATTTACTTTACTACTGTGTTTACTATTATTATATCTACTATTTAGCTTTTTTGCTCTTTTGTTTTAAGTAAACTGACTCTTTGTGAAAATTTGAAGAGAACTGAGTCTAGCCTTGTTTTCTTTTTCTGGTTTATGTTTATGTCTATTTTTATTAAGCAGATCTGTTATACTGGAGTTATTAGCCCAGTCTAATCTATTATTATAATAATATATTACTCTTCTATATATATTTTGCCTATCAATCTCATTCTCAAAATATACTGTTGCTAATTGTCTTGGATTCCCATTTTGATTCTTTGATGTATAAACTGCTTTTGCATTTACTACTTTGAGCTATCTAAGCAAGGCTGCTTCAGTTGCTGATCTAGGCACTTCTTTTAGAATTGCTTTATAGCTATTTCTCTTTTGTAGTATTTCTGTGTCATATTCTGCTTGTGTTAATCTGGACATCTTTCCTTCTTCAAAGTGTATTGCCCAAGCTGTTTGTAAAATTTCCCTTTTCTTTTTATCTCTTGGCTTTACTGTTATATATACTGCTTTATTTCTACTATTAGACTTAAAGCCTAGTATTGTTGCTTTGTCCAAGTAGTTAAAACACCTTCTTATTTGTACCGCTCTTCCTCATTTGGGATATTCCACATGATGAGTTTAATCTTTTCTGGTTTTTCCTTTCTATCTTATATATTTCATTTTATCTTTTCTTTTGATGCCCACATAGAGCTGTAGATGTTTTTTTTTATCTCTGCAGCTAGCTTTTCTTTTTTTTTGTTGAAAATCTTTTCTTCTTCTTTTTTTTTAAATGATGCGACCTAATCTTTGACTACTTCTGTGCTATAATCCATTTGCCCACATTTAGAGTATAGCAGAGTTGCCTTTTTTTCTACCTCTGTTAATTTATCTTCTCTTAGAATATTTATTTCACTCTCATTTAGAGTCATTTTGGTTAGTTTAGTTCTAATAATATCATCTTTCTTTTTGGTCTTGAGATTTTTTGCAGTGTCATCTTCTCTCTTTTTTTTGAGATTTTCTTCAGTATCTATTGCTATTTCCAAACTGTTGTTTGGTTGTCTTGTATTTCTACTGTTTTTTCTCTTTGTCTTTTTAATTTTTCTTTAGCTAAAATTTCTGTTATGTTCCCTATTAGTATGTGCTCCTCAATTGAGAGCTCTTCACCTTGACTTTTTCTGATTTCTAACCACTCATAACTGTTTAGTATGAAACACAGCGCTGTTATAAATTCAGGATGCTCATATTCTAAGTATCTTGCTATATTTTTATCTATTTTCAGTATAAAAAAACTATGCTCTTTATAGATTTCTTGCTGCTTATTTTGTGATGCCTTTGCAAGATCTTTAAGTATCTCTATTTTTATCATTCTAGTTATTTTACTGTCGTTGTGGATGTTGAGTTAATTTTACCCCAACTCTTCTAGAATAAATGCCACGTATTTGTTTATTAATAAAATTCTTATTAATTATCATTTCACTTTTTTCTTACTTATATATTCAACTACCAGAAGTAACTATATAATTTATTTATAATTATTATATATATTTTTATCTTCAAAAAAATCTTTATTAAATATTGCTTCGCTCTTCATTTAAATATTAAACTACTAGAAAGTAACTATATAATTTATTCATAATTATTACACACATTTTTATCTTCAAAAAATTTTTTTATTAAATATTGCTTCGCTCTTTCTTACATGTTAAACTACTAAGAAGTAAGTACATAGTTTATTATAAGTAATGTGCAAATCTTATTTTTAAAAAAAAATTTTTTATTAAATATTACTTCACTCTTTCCTCACTTACATATTAAACTACTGGAGAGTAACTATATAATTTATTTATAATTATTACATGTATTTTTATCTTCAAAAAATAATTTTTATTAAATGTTGCTTTGCTCTTTCTTTACTTACATATTAAACTACCGGGGAGTAACTATATAATTTATCTATAATTATTATATACATATTTATTTTTAAAAATTTTTTTTATTAAATATCGCTTTGCTCTTTCTTTACTTATGTAATAAACTACTAAGAAGTAAGTATATAGTTTATTATAAGTAATGTGCATATCTTATCTTTAAAAAAAAATTTTATTAAATATCACTTTACTCTTTCCTCACTTACATATTAAACTACCGGAGAGTAACTATATAATTTATTCATAATTTTTACATATATTTTTATCTTCAAAAAAAATTTTCATTAAATATTGCTTCGCTCTTTCCTTACTTATGTGTTAAACTACTAAGAAGTAAGTTCATAGTTTATTATAAGTAATGTGTATATTTTATCTTTAAAAAAAAAAATTCTCATTAAATATTGCTTTGCTCTTTTTTTACTTACATATTAAACTACCAGAGAGTAACTATATAATTTATTCATAATTATTACATACATTTTTATCTTTAAAAAAAAAATTCTCATTAAATATTACTTCGCTCTTTCTTCGCCTACGTGTTAAACTACCGGAGAGTAACTATATAATTTATTCTTTTCACAAAAATTTTTATTAAATATTGCTTCATTTTTTCTTTATTTATATATTCAACTACTAGAAAATAAGTACATAGTTTCTTATAAATAATGTGTATATTTTTATCTTTAAAAAAAAAATTTTTATTAAATATCACTTCACTCTTTCTTCTTCACTTACATGTTAAATTACTAGAGTCTAACTATATAATTTATTCATAATTATTACACATATTTTTATCTTCAATTAAAAATTCTCATTAAATATTGCTTCACTTTTTTTTTACTAACATATTAAACTACCTTATAATTATTACACGTATTTTTATCTTCAAAAAATTTTTTTATTAAATATTGCTTTACTCTTTATTTACTTACATATTAAACTACCGGGATTGATCTGTATCTCTAAGCCTTCAGCCATCATCTAGAAGTCTTATACGTAATATTCTTGTGGCTTGGGTTATTTTAGACATTTAGTACTACCAAATCAAATCTATATCACGGGTTTAATTCTAAAACTGTAACAATAGTTAAATTAATAGTTTGGAAAATAATATAATTCTATCATTATTGCAATTTAATAGTTTTTTTTTTATTATATGTATATACCTTATTAGACATCACTTCAAATTTCCGTCAAATTATACCAATTAAAATGACGTATATACAGTATGATATTTTATAATTTGAATTTATATTGATATATGTACATTAATTTTTTTAATTGATGAAAATTTGAAAGTAATATTTACATATATAATTATTTATAACTTATTTACAGAATAATGGAACTGTAAAGCTGAATTAGTTTTGAATAATGAAATTGGTTAATACAATAAATTAATAAAAAGTTCATCTCATCTTTTCTTATAAAAAGTTTTGTTTTCTTTATCTGTTATTATTTTTTTTATCTCTAAAAGTTATTACAAAATGAATAAACCTATTAAAACCATACCTTCAAAAAAAGGGGGTGTTAAAATCAATGTTGGTAGTTATTTAATAACCAAAGAATCAAATCGCAAAGATACCTATTATTGGTGTTGCGATAAGAGAAAAGATAGGTGTAAAGACCATGCAGTCACTAAGTTGCTTAATAATACTCATATTTTTAAAAGTTTTACCAAACATAATAGTCATGCACTAGAGGTGCATAAAGTTGAGATTGCAAAAATAACAGATCAAATTAAACGCCAGGCCAGAGAAACACAGGATAAGCCTGTAAAAATTGTACAAGATACTGTTATTAATACACAGAGGAATTTCGTCTCTATATTCCATTACTAGATACTTTGCGTCAAACCATTAATCATTTTAGACAAGAATCGTTACATTAACCACAAAGTATATTTGAATTAGATATACCAGATTCTCTTAGAGTTACTTTAAATGGAAATATCTTTTTAATTAATAATCAGATGATTGATGATAAGTGAGTAATTGTATTTACTACAACTAAAAACATTAAACATCTATTTCATGCATTATATTGGATCATGGACGGGACATTCCAGACTGTTCCCAGAGTGTTTTATCAATTATATACAATTCATGCATCTGTTGGTAGAACAAAAAATTCTAGAAAACTTCTGTTGGTATGTGTACTTATGACAATAAATTAGCAGAACAATACAAGTAACTATTTGAAAGTTTAATTGATTTTGTAACAGAAAATGTGGTAGAATTAAGCCCAACCAGAATTATTACTAATTTCAAATTAGTCACGATAAATATGTTATGCTATATATTTCCTGGCACTATTAACAAGGCATGTTTTTTTATTTAAGTCAGAATGCCTGGAAAAAAGTTCAAAAATATAGATTGACAGGTAATTTATCTAATCTAATTTAATTGTAATTAACATACTATATACATATATACGTATGTATATATGATGCAGGAAATCTGAAAACTTCAAACACTTAATATAGAATAAAGATTAACTAACTCATTGAAAATACTGAATTTGTCATACTATTTGCATATATTGTTGACCCTCTCAGAATCGGTATGCATGGTGGACAAGTTTTGTATCAGTTTTGAGAGATTATCGGATTTGAAAAAATAACAAACTATTAGATTTATATAACGGGAACGGACTTGGTAGACTAATTTTTTATCGGTTTTGGCAGGTTATCGGTTTTGACAGGATCGGTTTTGAGAGGGTC